ATAATTAGACGACAACAACAATAGCAGCAGCAGCAGCAGCAGCAGCAGCAGCAGCAGCAGCAGCAGCGGCGGCGGCGGCGGCGGCGCATAATGCATGTCTTACATGTTTCTTTATTTACCTTTTTAATATATATATATATATATTTTCGTCTACTTTTACCCAGCGCCGCCCTCAGCCTTCTAACCCTGTACGTTTTGTTACCTCCTTTGTCTTGTGCCTTGCAATGTTGTCGCCTTCCTACCCGGAGTCGCACTCCCCTCCCCCCAGACTCCAAAAAGAAAAACTCCACTAGCGCCGCCGCCGCCGCCGCACGACGCGGTGCGGGCTCAGCCGGGACTGTTGTCACTTCCTCCTCGGTCCTTCTTGTAGGCCTTTTTTTGACGTCTCGCCTTCCCCACTTCTACTTTCCTAGCAGTTGCTGGTCGTTGGCACGCGGTATCTCCCCGGTGAGGGCCGTGACGACGGTCTCCGCCCAGCGCCAGAAGTTGATGTAGTCAAGGATCCCGTTCATCCACCCGGTGGTGATGCAGTAGCTCTGGTCGTAGTTGCCGGTGTGGTGCTTGCGGTGCCCGCGCGGAGTCAAAATGACGTGGCACGACATCAGAAACCGCACCACGGCGGGGGGCTTCGCCATGTGCGACCACTTGTGCACCTCGTTGGTGAGGGCAACGAAGATGGTGAGCGTCAGCAGAAAGACGTGGCCGCCGACGTTGCCGTTGTGGATGTTGTACTCATACTTGCCGTGCGTATTGGGGCGGGAGAGGCAGTAGCGCTGCAGCAGCAGCAGCGGAATGAGCGGGAGCGTCGTGTCGGCGTTTGTCTCGATAAAGTCGTGCTTGGTCATCGCAACCTGGTCCACGTGGTGCTCGCGGAAGGAGCGAATGAAGTTGCCGAAGATCAGCGTGTCTGGCGTCCCCCACGTGTCAAGCCCCCAGTGGGCGAGGCCGCTAATGAAGTCGGCCAGCGTCATCGCACACAGTATCATCAGCGGACTCCACGCGAGCTGTAGCAAATCTGCCTGGCCGCCATGGACAAAGTACCTGGCCACAATCACAAACTGCGTGAACCACAGGTAGGTAGAAATGTAAAGGTAGCAGCACTCCATAAGGCGCTTCTTCTTGGTGTAGCCGGCGGCCAGCTTCTCTGCATTTGCCTTGCGAATACGGTGGTCGCCAGTAGCCACAGGAGAACTGTTGCCAGATTCACTGTTCATGTTTGCTCCCCGTTTGTTTGTTTGTTACTTCACACACTCACAGACGATTCCTTCCCTTTCCTTTAATGTTTTTTTTTTTTCGTGTCCCCCGTTTTTTCCTTTTGTAATAATTTATGTACCTATTTACGTGTACACCGGCGTGCGCCTTATTGGCTTCCCCACTTTCCTGCTCTGGGGGGTTTGCCCCGCTTCTCTTTTTTATTATTGTTTTGTTTCGATTTTGTTGCGTGTGTCCTCGCCCGCCCGTCAATGTGGTGGGGGCCCGGGGTAGTCGTGGGGCCTACTTCGTCGCCGTGTGCTCGCTGGGAGGCCCTGGACGATCCGTGGAGCGCGGCCGCGGCGGTTTCCTGTCAAATGAGCAACTCTGCACACACACACACACACACACAGCGAAAGAGCGAGAGAAAGAGAGAGAAAGAGAGAGAGGAGGGAAACCACGTTGTTGTATACCCAAGATACATACATACACATACACACATATGTACGGCTCGAACACATTCACAAGCCAGCGCCTCTTCCTCCCAAACAGCCACTCTCTCGAAGTCACACGCAGACGCACGAAGCCCATTCACCGCTGCTATTTCTTTCCCTTCCTTTTTTTTATTTGTTACTTTTGTTGTTAAGCATAAAATAATAATAATAATAATAAAAACTTTTTTTCTTTTTAAAGCTTCGGTACTTCTTCGTTGCAGTTTTCCTGCCGCATGCGTTTTGGTCGGCCGCGCGTCCTCCCGAGCCGTCCGCTCCCCCTCCAAACCGGCGGCGCCAACACTCCGAGGAGAAGCCGCTTCCGCCCCCACGCCCGCGAAGAAAAACCGCAGACATCCGAATAAAAACATGTGAAGGGGACGCCGGCGCCGCCGCGGCGAGGGATCAGCCGGAGTGGAGGCGGCAACAGCGCCTTTAGCCAATAAGAGGGATCGGCGATGGTGACGCCCCGCAGTTAGCTTTTCTTTTTCATTTTTCTTTTCTTTTTCCTTTTTTTTTTTCGGTGTTTCCTCTGCTTCTTTTCTACGGGTAGAACTTCGCGACCGTCATCGTCGTCTCCAGCACCGTCATGGAGTCCCGCACCAACTGCTCCACCGCCGCCGAAGACCGCAGCTGCAGCACGCAGTCGGCGCTGGTGCGGCCGTGCCAGTAGGCGTCAAGGGGCTCCGCGCCGAGGACCGCCGCCACCGCCTCTTTAATGTCGGTCAACTTGAGCGACTTCGGCACCCGCACAAGGCGAGCATACTCCGTGCTGCCCGTCCTGCCGGGGTGGAGGCGCGCCCGCGCCGGCTCCTTCGCCTCGACTGCCGCCGCCGCTTCCGCTGCGTCCGCTGGTTTTGTTCTCTTTGCCTCCGCAGCAGCGGGTCCTCGCCGGGGCGCGGCGGTTTCTCTCCTGCTGCCGTTGTTGTGGGAGCCACCGTCCGCGCCCTCCGCCTTGCTGTCGCCGCGCCGCTCCAGCGCAGCCCTCGAGCGGGGAACGGGCATGCTGAGGTTCGGCTTTTCACCGCTTTCGGGTTTGGCGGCCGCCGCGTTGGGCTGCTCGCGCAAGCGCGAGGTGGGTGCGGATCGTGGCGCAGCGGCCTCCTCCGCCGCGCCCTTTTCTTCGCGGGGCCTCACGTTTTCACGCCTCTCCCCACGCCCGCCGTCGTGGCGTTCCCAGCGGCGGTCGCCGTTTTGCTTGCCGCGTTCGTCGTTCCTGCCGCTGCTGCGCTCCGCACGCTCGGGCCGGTTGTTTTTGCTGCCGCCCCCTTCATTGCGGTTGAGGCGCCGCGCGTCCGAGCGCTCTCCCCGCCGCTCATCACTCCGCTCCGGGCGATCCCTGCGGTTGTTGCCGCCGCTGACGTACTCGCTGCCCCCGGCGGCGGCGGCGGCGGCATAGTTGCTGACGTTGATGTTCGCGCGCTCACGACGGGGCTCCCTTTCGGCGCGTGCCTGCTGGAGCTCCTTCTGTCGCGCCGCCTCCTCCGCCTGCTTGAGCCGCAGCTGCTCGGCCGCCGCCTGCTGGCGCCGCAGCTGCTCACGGGTCTCCTCCGCGCGTTTGCGGCGCTCGTGCTCCTCCAGCAGGTGCTGTGCGACCTGCGCCGGGGTCATGACGATGCTGTCCTCCGGTATGTGCTCCACCTCCACCATCATAAAGCGGAAGTAGTCCATGGCGATGTGGTACGTGTTGGTGCGGTACTGGGTCGGGGCCAGCACAAACGCCTGGAAGAAGGCCCGCCGCTGGCCGCGGAGGTACATGATGCCCTGGCAGACGATGTGGATGCAGCCGCCCGGCAGCGGGGCGTAGTCGGCGAAGCGCACCTCCACCTTGCGGCGGCCCAGCGCGTCGTCCATTTTGCCGAGGTGCTGCGCAATCTCGTGCCGGCCCTGCGCCACCACGGTGGTCTCCTCATTGTAGCCGGCGTAGGTGATCAGCGAGGACTCCCCGTAGAGCTCGACGAGGCCGACGATCTCCTTCTCCTTCACAAGCTCGCGGTAGTAGCTCACGAGGAAGCTGCAGGCAACCCCGGCAACGGTCTCGCGGCTCAACATATCGCCGCCGCGCGCTCCCCCTTTCCTTCGTCTTTAAACGGTGTCTTGCCGACAGAGCGGGGCTCCGCGAGGGTGGGCGCGTGTGTTCCGGAAACGAGCAAACACACAAAGGCCTCTATAGGGAGTTATCTCTCCGACGAGAAGAGAAACACTAAAAGTCGCTCCTAAAACAACAAGCAAGTGCTCACTTACACACACACACACACACACAAAAGGGAGAAAAAAAACAACAACACAAAAGAGGGCACGGAGGACGCGGGGACAAAAATCGCAAACAATTGGAGGGAGCAGACTAGTTCATCCACACAGGCGTGTGCGGCGCGTGCCGGACACACCGAAAGGAAAGCGTGGGAGGAGGTGCGGTGAGTTGAGGCGCAAACGTCCCGTGAGGGGGAGGGGGGAGGCAAACGACGCCTATAGCTGCGACGGGTGCAGACTTCCCGGTGGGTGCTGCGCCGCCATGATCGGGGGCACCTCCTTCGCCAGCTGCCGTGCGAGCGGTGCCAGGTCAGTCGTGTCGTCGAGCAGTTCGTTCAAGTACAACAGGGCGTCGGGGCGCTCATTCGCGATGCCGCGTATGGCGTTGTTGGCCTTTTTGCCCACGGCACCGCCAAGCGCCACGTCCAGCATCCCGCGCACACTGTCGATCTTCTCCAGCCGCTTGCCGAGGTCGATCCCGCGCTCCTCCTCAACGTGGAAGATGCGCTGCAGTCCGGCGACGGAAACGGGCTCGAGCCCCTTCTCCACAAAGTAGTCAATCAGGCCGTACTTGCCGCATAATTCCCCGCCCCCCGCCTCGTCGGCGGGGTCGCCAGTGGGCAAGAGTTTGTTGTCCAGGTCCTCGCAGATCGACGTCACGGTCTCCTGCGCGTCCATGAGGGCCTGCACTATGACGCCCTTCGGCCCCCGCTTGACCCACCCCGCACAGTACACCCGCGGCTGCCCCGTCACCCGGCCGCGCTGGTGCGGAATGACGCCACGCGCGTGATCAAACGCCACGCCGGCAACCTCGTCGGAGCGGTACCCCACCGACGTGATGGCGACATCGCACGGGAGCGTCACGGTCGTCGCCCCCCTCTCGCCCTGCCCGGCGTCGGCGTCAGCGTCAGCGTCCGTCCGCTCGAACACGACGGCACCGACGCAGTTGCGGCGGTCGGGGTGCGGCAAAAAGCGCAGAGGCTTTAGGTGGTAGCGCAGATGCACGACGCACGGGCCGCGCGCGTGTCGCGGCGGCGGCGGCGGAGCCGGTGGTGCACTCGGCCCATCACCGTGACCGCCAACACCCGCGGCTGCGGCGGTGTCGGCGGCGAAGCGGGAGACGAGTTCGAGAAGGCGCCTCCGCGCGCGGGGGTTTTCCGACGGCACACGCAGCGCCGCCTGCAGATCAAACGGGTCGACCACCACCCGCACCGTGTCGGCGTGGAAGCGCGTCAGCTCCCGAAACTCGGCGATGGTGAAGGCGCTCTGGGCGTGGCCGCGGCGGGCCACAACGCTGATGCGGCGAATGCGGTTCCGCATGAGCTCCCTGATCGCCACGCAGTTCATGTCCGTCTCGCAGAAGTACTTGTAGGACGCCGCCAGGACGCGGGCGCAGTCCAGCGCCACGTTGCCGTTGCCGACGATCACCGCCTCCCGCGCGGTCGCAAGGTCAAAGGGGCAAAACCGCGGCGAGCCGTGCGGAAAGGGGTAGGTGTTGTAGTACCGCACAAAGTCCCCGGCGCCGACGACGCCGCCGAGCTCCTCGCCGGGGATGCGCAGACGGCGGTTGGCGTCCGCGCCCGTCGCGACCACCACCGCCGTGTAGTGCTGCAGCAGCGTCTCGACGGGGATGTCCTTGCCGACCGCGACGTTGCCGATCCACGTCACCCTGCCGCCCCTGAACATGTCGAGGAACTGGCGCTCGACGTTCTTCACCTCCGGGTGGTCGGGGGCCACGCCGTAGCGGCACAGGCCGAAGGGGACCGGCAACCGCTCAAACACGTCCACGTGAACGTCGTCGCGCCGCTTCGTGAGGAGGTGCGCCACGTAACACCCGCTTGGGCCGCTGCCGACGACGGCAATTTGTACACGCCGCGCCGGCGCAGTTGACGTCGGCGGCGGCGGCGGCGGCGGCGGCGGCGACTGCTGCTTCTGCCGCGCCCGCCACACTGCGGTGCCCGCAAGGCACAACCGCCGCGTTGCGCCAAAAAACATTGCCAGCGGAGCAGCCAGACCCCAAAAGCAAACAAAAACTCACCACGAGCGCTGCAGCCACGCACGCAGAGGTGCGTGTGCGCGTGTGTGTGTTGTCGCGGTCAGCCACCGGGCGCAACGGGGCCTCGCCGACCAAAGCGACCGGGCGCCTGCGGGAGCCGCTTGCAGGAAAGACTGTGCAGCGGGGAGACCACGCGGCGAAGAAGAAGAGGCGGCGGCGTTGGTGGCGGCAACAGAGAGCGAGAGAGAGAGAGAGACGCACGAGGCCGCGCAGCGGCGAGCGGCACCGGCCACCGCCGCAGGCGGGGACGCCTGATTGCGCGCGGCAGCAAAGGAGCAAAGCCGGCGGAGTGGGCGTGCGGGAGGGGGGACAACAAGCATAAAAGAACAACAACAACAATAACGTAATAAAACAAAAGAGTTGCCCCTCCGCCCCGGCCTTACGCTCTTATCAGCCAGCGGAACAAAAACAGAAAAAAAAACCAAACAACCAAAGAAACAAACAGAAAAAGTAACGATCCCCATAAAAACAAAAGTCGCAAGGCGCCCGGCAGCAGCGGCTCCCCCCGCCCCTCCCCCCGTCAGCAGGGACGAGGGGGCGCAGGCGGGCGCTGTGAGGAGCCCAACGGGGCGGGTGGGCGGGAAATGACGGCGCCGGCCACACCACCAGGCGCCAATGAAAAACAGGGGGAGAGAGAGAGGGAAGGAAAAAACAAAACAAAACAAACAAAAAAATAAACCAAAGTAAAAACAACAGGGGAATAAAAAAAAGAAGGGACGAAAACGCCCGCGCACACGTGCGCAAAGGAGCCAACGAACAAACACAGCGGAGGGAGCCTGTCAAAAGAACCAAAGGCGTTCATTCAGCGGTGCTGGGATCATGTCGTATGTGAGTGGTGGGGCTGCGTCCAGCAGCCGCTCCGCCACGCTTGACAAGCGGTGGGCGCATCGGGTGGGCATCGGCAGCTTCGTTGCCTGCGGCGACAGCACGTGCGAGAGCACGTGTGAGAGTTGTTGCACGTCCGACACATCCAGCGTGGGGCTGGTGCTGTGAACAGTGTACTGCACGGTGCGGGCCGTGGACATGTTGCAGTCGTGGTTCTGCAGGTAGAAGGAGGGCGCCACGGCGTCATCCAGCAGCGAAATGGGCGTGAGGCCCTGCACCACGGCTCCCCGCCCCACGTTGACGGCCGTCGTCTGGGGGGAGCTGTTTCCCTCCTGCAGTTTGTGGACAAAGCGCACATTGGTGCGCTTGTGCAGGCACATGAACGTAAACCCGCAGCCGGGCGGCAGGAGTGCCTGCATCTGTTGCGCCTCGCTGTACACGTCCCCATCCTGAAACACCACCACCTCATCCACGCCGTCGTACAACTCGCACGCCCGCCGCAGCAGGAGGCCAAAGTGCTCTGAGACCCGGTCCGCCTCCTCCCCACGCATCTCGTGCTTCCAAAAGAACGGCAGCAGGTGGTTGCGCTCGGGGGCGCACAGGACGCCCACGACGGCGCCAGTGCTGAAGGTCGTTGTGTGGCAGGCGTCCACGCCCACGACGAGCACGCGGCGCCGCGCCACCGCGGGGACCTCCCGTGCGACATCCACCCCGTGGGCGGGGTCCGTCTCAAACTTCGTCCGGAGCTGCATCCCCACGTTCTCGCAGAGGAGACTTTGCCGCTTCGGGGCGGTGGCGGGCGGCACAAACACCGCAAGAATGCCACGCGTGAGGCACTCGGCGAGGACCCAGCGCGAGGTACGCGTCTCGCGCTCCGCGGAGATGATCACGGCGGCCGTGTTCGGGTCTTTTATCGCCCCGTCCGAGGCGTGGGTGAGTTGCTGCAGTAAAAATCGCACCGCCTCCTTCTCGTCCGGCACGGTGATGGTGGCGGAGCTGCGGTGGTACCGCGCCATAGCCTGTGCGGTCTGCGTGATGCGGGCGCGTTCCTCCTCTTCGGCGTGCGGCGGCGCAACAGCAACCACCGCGAGGGTTGTGGGGAACGGCGCCGGCGGCGGGTGACGCAGCGCGGCAGAACGGATCTGCTTCTGCCTCGCAATTCCACTCCGTCCCAGGCCGTAGGCGGTGGTTTTCTGCGGGGTGGGCAGCAGTGAGAGCGCCTTGGAGGAGAATGGCTCTGCCGCCAAGGCGAGTCCCCAGCGCCGCATTTCGCTCGCCAGCGCCGTGTGGAACACCTTCAGAAGGTCCAGCCGCCGTGTGGGCAGGAAGGAGCAGGTGGAGACGGTGATGTCCTGCCACGACCTCATGCGGGGGTCGTAGCAGCAGTGAAGTGCCTGCAGAGGAACAACGCCGTGGTCGCCGAGCACGGCGTAGGGCTGCCCGGGCTCCAGGCCCGGCAGGAGCCGCTGCAGCAGAGGATCGAGGCTCACGGCGCTGGCGACGACGTTAAAGCGAACGAGGCGGATCACGGAGTGGCGCAGCGTGGCCGACACAACCACCGGCGTTCCCTGCAAAGAACGTGCGATGCGCTCTTCCGTGGCACTGTCGTAAGGGCCGCTGCCAAAGTGCTGCTTCACCTCCTCCCAGAGCGAGAGCTCCGCGGCGACGGTGCCCTTTGTGTCGATCTTCAGCGCAAACGCCCCCGGCATCTCTTGCAGTGCGCCCTCCTTCGTGACATCCGGCAGGAGCTTGCCGCCTGCCGCGTCGCGCCTGCTTTCCTCTGCGGTCGCAGCCGCGTCGGCTTTCGGTGTTCGCCGCCGTCGTGTCGCCCCGCCTCTACCCGGCGCACTTTTCTCCTCCGCGGCGCTTTTGGGCGGCGGCTCCTCCGCCTCCTCCACGGGCCTCAGTACCGTCTCCCCCGCCGTCAGTTCCAAAAGCCGCATGTTGCCGCGGTTCTCAAACACGCGGAGGCGGTAGTCGGTGGCCTCGTACACGGCCCCGGGGGAGAGCCGCGCCGCGGCGGTGCCCTTCCACAAGGAGGCCGCGATCACACCCGAGGCGTCCTCCACGCGGTAGCTCTGCACGGGCGTGTTCTTATACTCAAACTCACGCACAAACTCCTTCACAAGGAACCGCAGCGGCGTCGTGGGGTGATGTCCGGCCGGCAACGTCGTCAGCAGCGCCGTCGGGGGTGGGGGCAGGGTGGGTGCCGAGGCTGCAACGGCGCCCGCTGCGTCGAGAAAGACGGCTCGGACAAGGGTCCCCTTAAAAATGCGCATCCCACCCACAATAAAGCTGTCGTGCGTACACACCAGTTTCCCGTTAGCCTCCCTCGCCACGTTGAACATCTTCTGCTGCTTCTCCTGCCTTCCCAGCGTCCAAAGAACGATTTTGTTTGTCACCTCCTGCAGGTCGGCGGGCGAAAGCTGCGCCATGGAGACCTTCCCCCGGAATCGCAGCTTGCACGCCACCCAGCCCATGTCAAGATATTCGGCCGGAAGCTGCAGCGCATCGGTGGGGAGGGGCGAGAGCGCGTACACATTGTGTCGAACGCACACCAGCGGCGGGGCGGCCGGAACGCAACGTTGCAGGAAACGCCGCACCACACTCCAGGCCCGTGTCGCGTCAACTCGCTTAATGATTGGGTCTGCAGCGGCGGGTGTCGCTGGCGTGCTGGCCTCCTTTTTGCGACGCCCTTTGGCCTTCCCATCGCTCTTTTCCTGCGCACCGTCAGGCGGCCGCGGCGGAAGCAGACGGCGGGTGGCCTCAATCTCGTAGGTGTAGAGGGAGGTGTCGGGGCTCACGTGCACGGGGAAGAGGTTTGACGTCACACCCTCGTCGCGCAGGCGCTGCCGCGCCGCTGTGCGTGCCTTTTTGTCGAGGAAGCGGTCGTTGGCGTAGCTGCGCTTGACGTTCTGCAGCGGCACCTCCTTGGCCTCTGAGCACCAGAAGGACTTGCTGCGGGCCGAGCCATCGGCGCCGGCGTCGGCGTCGTCCGCGGTCCGCCACGCAGCACGGAGGCCTCTACGCCTCGCCGCGTCGACCGACCGCTGCTGCCCGCCGTGGAGCGCAATTGTCTGGAGTGCCAAGGGCGCCAAGCCCAAAACTGTCCTGCGCATCATCGTTGGCTGTGAAAAGGCAATAACGCCTAGGCTAGCAGGCATTGTTCATTGACGAAGCACACGGGACACAGCAGCAGCAGCAGGGAACACGCGTAGAACAGCCACAGCCGCATGTATGGCACGCACGCTTGAATTGCGCCCGCGCCCACGCACTGGGAGAGACACATGGGCAGACGTAAGTAGAGAGGGAGAGATGAGAGGCCTCGTGTGGGATTCCAGCAAAGGTTGCAGACGAGCGCAAAGATGGGAAACGTAACCAAAACACCTACACAGAGGGATAAAAACAAAAAGGAAATGATGAGGTCCGGTTCCACTTACAAATTGCGTCGGACCCCCGCCCTTCACCACCATCGGTGGTGCCAAGAACACTCACCCAACTGCTGCCTGCCGCTCCAGAAAGGACAACACAGCTCCCTTTCCCCACAGCCTCTACACACTCGCGCAAGAACACTCCTCTTGCGTCTTTCCTTCGCTACGTGAAAACGCCAACGCGTGGGTGTGGGTGTAGAAGCAGACCCACCCACGCCCACGCCCCACCTTTTTGCATTCACTTTTACGCTGCCCAAATGTTTGATTTTGCCACACTGCGGAGCCCCTCACGCGACCCGCTCGTAGAGGAGGATGTACGCCGTCGCCGTAACCACCCCGCTGACGGGGATGGGCACCCCCCAGAACTGCTGCACCTCATACTCCGTCAGCTCCGACACTACGGTGTCGTTGAAGAGGAACCAGCGCCCCCCGCTCCGCACGCAGGTGAAGTAGTGGCCAAGCGTGGGGCCGTCCCCCACGTGCGTGACGAAGCCGCTCAGTGCGAAGCGTCCCTTGCGGTGCGCCACCCCCTCCAACTTCTTCATCAGCTGCGGGGACGGGCGCGGGACGCCCCCGGTGGCGTCACATGCCGCGTCTGCAGGTGCGTCCACGGCCCCGGAAGGGGAGCACGGGGACCGCACGGGGCGAGACTCTCCCGCAGAGTTGGCGTGCGTGCTGTCGTTGTCGTCGGTCCCCCACGGCTCGTACTCCACCACTTCCATCTCCTGCGGGATGGCGACGTGATCGCTACGCTTCGTCATACACCCCTGCTTCTCGTTGTACTCAAACCGCTTGAGGTGCAACAGCAGGGCGTACTCCGGCAGACGATGCACGCGAAGCAGCTTCTGCGCGACCACCCGCTTCCGGCAATGGTCACAGTAGAGCTTGTTTGTCCCATGGAACAGCTCCGCCGAGGCAAAGTTCGCCATGCAGTGCAGCAGCGAGGAGCCCTGCTCAACGTCGAGGCCGATGTCGACGAAGGCCTCCCGCACCGTCGTCACCCGCTCACACTCCAAGCACGCTGTCAGTGAGGCGAACTGGCCGCCAAAGATCACCTGCAGGGGTGACGCCGTGCCGCGACCGGCGTCGGCGCCCGTTGCCGTCGCCCCCGTGGAACCCGGCACACTACCCACGTCAAACGCATCCCCGCTTCTTGCCGAGGTTCCTGGCAGCGGCAAACGACTTCCTTCGCGGAGGGCGGGCGGGAGCTCCACATCCTCTTCTCGCAGTTCCAGCAGGCCCAGCGATCCTGTGGGGCTACCCGGCTTGCGGCCCCGACGCAGCACACTCGACCACTTGCGTCGCTTGCTGCTTTTGGTACCAAAAAAGAGGGCACGATTCTTCTCATCCTCCATCATGCGTGTCTCCGTTTCGATCATGCTAGACAACAAAAAAATGGCAAACTCATGGGCATCGTGCTGGAGGGTGTTGTTAAACGTCGCATTTTGCCTTCGTATGCAGGACAACAGCGCCCGGGGCGCAACGACTTCCCTCTTTTGCTTCTTGTGATTATTGGCCTTGTGCAGCTTCGCGAAGAGATCCGCCACAAGTGCAAGTAGAGTGCCTCCCTCAAAACCAGTGTGCCCCTGCCCCTTTTCGTACATCTGATTCAGCTCCAGCAGCCGCAGCCGCAGCGGGGAGCAGTGATAGAGCAGCTGTAGAACGGCGTTGCAGTAGCAAGTGTTGCCGTAGTTCTCTAACCCGGTTGGGTGTCCGTTAATTTCCAAGAAACGGGTGTGAATGGGCGGCGATGACGGGCTAGGGGAGGAGGGGCTCAGTTGGGTGCTCTCCTGCAAGGAAAAAGAGTGCATGCGGTACGAACGCAACATTGGGGTGGACGGCGTCGCCGCCGAGAGGTCACTGTTGTACGTTGGAATTGGCGACAAGGGGTGAATCGACATTTTGGGCGAGAGGCGCTGCTGCCCCCTGTCGGCCGCGCTGCACGACCACTCCGACACCGCAAACGAAGCCTCCGTGGCGCCTTTGCTGCCGATCCCACGGAACTCATTCTCCCGCGCCCCGTCGCGAGTGGGTTCACTGGCGTCCTGAGACCGCTTGTTGAGCCTGCCGGCGCCCATGACCAGCGGGGGAGGCCGCAGCGTCGGAATGGAGGCACTGGCAGCCGCCACCGATGTTGACGGCACGCCGCCAGCGCCGCCGGCATCCGGTGAGGTGGGCCGCCCGCGCGGCAGCGGCTGCGTCTCCCTGCCCTTCGCCGGCTTTGAATTCCTCGCCCCCATGGCGCCCCCAGTCCTCCTCCGCTCGGTAGCTGGTGCGCCTACTATAGGTGCACGTGTGCGGCGGTATCCCTTTCTAGCGCCCAGCCACAGCCACACAGACAGAGAGATATGTCCGCCGCGCCGCCAAAAAAAAAAGAGAAGCGAGAGGAAGCCGCGTGCATCTCCGGACACACACGCGCAAAAGACACACGGCGCCTCTTTCCACACGCCAGCAAAAAAGAGAGTCATTTTTTATTTTTTATTTAATTATATATATATTTTTTCGTCTTTCCCCAACAACCCACTTTTTTTTTTTTTGGTTTCTGGCGGCCAACACACGCCGCCGCTCTCACCCGCGCATGACATTCTTCAGCAGCTCCCTGAACGTGAAGTCGCGCGCGTCGACGGGCAGCACAGTGCCCTCTGTGACTTCTTTGAACTCCACGCAGACCCCGCCCTCCTCATTCTTGGAGAGCTGCACAATGCCGTACTCCAGCGCGCTGTGCAGGCTGCGGGAACTCACAGTGATGCCCTTCACCGAGGCATCTACCGGCTTCACGGCGCGGCCAAAGAAGCCATCGCTAAGGTACCGCTCATGCTTGAGAATCTCACCGTAGATGATGACTTGCATAGCATAGCGGTAGAATTTGGTGTTGGGAAGGTGCATGAGGCAGCCGGTGCAGGGAGTTTCAAAGGAGCCAAAGCGAAACGCGCTCGCCACGCTGCTGCTTGTCTTCCAGTCCCCAATGAAAAGCTTCTGTGTGCGTTTGTTGCGGGCAATTAAGTCGACGGTGCCACCGATGCCCCACGAGGGACTCGCGATCACCTGCTCGACGGCGATGACGTCGTAGTTGCCCAGGATGGTCTCGATCACGCCGTCCGCCGCCTTCATGTAGGCGGCCTCCTCGCCGTGCAGGAGGGCATCCACCGTCGACTGACTGGACGCCGTTGACAGGGAGGCTGCTTCCCCCCGCTCCTTCTCGTCAGCTTCTGCGGCGGCGGCCGCCTTCTTTTTCTTCCTGCCACGCTTCTTTTTCACCGGTTCCTCCTTCGCCGCCGCCGCCGCCGCCGCCGCCTGTTGCTGCTGGCGTTTCAGCAGCAGCGTCCACGTGGGCGGTGGCAGCCCGCGGAGTTTCGTCTCAATGTACTCGTGAATGTTTTTGCCGAGCAGCGCCTGCCGGTTCCAAAGCGCCTTCACGTCCTCCACGGGCTGCCCTGTCTTTTTCGACACCAGCGCCAGCACCCGCTTCTCGTCAAAGGGGAAGTATTTGTCCAGCACCTTCGACACCGAGCGGAGGGCTGTGTGGCCGACTTTGTACTGGTGCCACTTGGCGTCAAAGACGACGTCCACCCCGGACGGGTGCGGGACTCGCCTCATCGGACGCCGCGGCACACGGCTCTCCCCCGTGTATATATAAATCTGTATATCGATATATGCGTGGGGCGCGCGCGTGCCCTCCCCCACTATCGCCTTTTCCGCGCGTGCGTGTGTGTCTAGTGCACGGGTGCAGTGCGGGAGGGAGGCGCCGCGGCGGCACTTTTCCCGGAACCCGCCGACGGCGTCAGTGAAGTGTGGCCCCGGGCGCAGCGCAAACGACGGCGCCGCCCCCGATTTTCTCCCCGCACGGGTGCGTGTGTGTACGGGACCTACGGCCGCCTATGCGCTGCTGCCGAGGGGCGCGGGGAGCCCGGGGCGCCAAAAAAAAAAAAGAAAAGAAAAAAGAAAAGAGAGCGTCGCAGAGGAAGTACGCCAGTCACACACACAAACTCACAGACACAGAGACGCACGCGATGGCAATGCCACGCCTTACGGCCGCCCACGCACTGAGGCGCAGGGTGCAAGGGGGAAAAAAATATAATAATAAAAAAAGGTACGGCTGGACATCACACTCTCATTCCGCCCCCCGCCAGACCGACAACTTTTCTTCATTTCGTTGCCGTTGTCGTGCTTGGCGGCGCCGGCGTTTCCCGCGACCCTCATCAATACATACATGGGCAACCAACGCGGAGCAAGACACGCACGCACACACACACACACACACACACACACACAGTGCCCACCTCCAGTTGTGTGCATCTGTGGCATATTTTATCCCCGGCTTGTGCTTTTTTTTCTGTGCGTTCTCTCTATTATTCTCCTTATGTATGCGTGCGTGCGTGCGTGTCTTGTCGCATTATTGGTTAACTGTTTGCTACATGGCTTCTCCTTCCCCTCGCTCACATACGCACACACACAGAGAGAGACATATACATCTACCTGTATAGTCCCGTGTTCTGTTCTTTTTCCCGACTTTGCTTTGCTTTGCCCCTCACCTCAATACAAAGTTGCTTCCACCGTGCAAAAGGAAGATGCAACGCGCGTGCAATGGGGGGAGGGGGACGGTGGCACAGCAAAGGTTGTGCACGGGAGAACAAAAAAAATAGAAAGGGAGTAATGTGTGCAGAAGAGGGACAAAACAACAACAACAATGAACGAACATCTGAACATGACATTTGTCTGCGTCTGAAGGCCATATTACGCCTTCCCTCTCTCTACTCGCAACCGCTCTCCTCACACCTCTCCCCCTGCGTAACAAATACCCTCTTTGGGCGTTTATGTGCGCGTGGCAGGGAGGGAAGCTTGTCTCTACGCCGCCTCAGCGGGCTGCTGTTGCTGCTGCTGCATTCCCGCCGACTCCTCTTGCTGCTGTGGCGTTGGCGGCGCCTGTTGCTGCGGCGCCTGTGCCTGTGCCTGTGCGTCAGGCCGCGGTTGCTGTTGTTGTTGTTGTTGCTGCTGCTGCTGCTGCTGCATACTTGCTCCAGCCTCCTGCGGCTGCGCCTGTTGCGGCTGTGCCTGTTGCGGCTGCGCCTGCTGCTGTTGTTGTTGTTGTTGTTGTGGCTGTGCCTGCTGCTGCTGCTGCTGTTGCGTCGGCTGCTGCTGGGAGATGGGAAGGAACAGCTTGAACTCCGGTGGCAGCTCCTCCTCCGAGTAAAGGCGGTCACTGAAGTACAGCCGGCGGACGCGGCAGTTGGCGTGCAGCTGCACCCGCAGGGTCTCCAGGTAATTAGTCCCGTACGCGCGCCGTGTGAAGTCCGCTAAGTTGAACTGGATCTGGTTCCACCCCTCGTCCAGGCGCATCGGCATCGTGCAGGTGAACGGCTTCACCCGCGTCGTGCTCTGGTAGTTGGAGGCGCGAAAGCGGCGGCGGA